TATATATATATAAAGGGGAAGCTTAGTTTCCAGGAGAATAAATCAGCTGGAGAACAGCAGCAGCGAGCTATCCAGAAGCGATGGTTAGATCAGGAGCTGTCAGGCAGCCAGGCTGCGGTGTGCTGACCGCAATGCTCGCAGCAAGGAGATGTATTAGGAGACATCCCACAGTATATCCAAAAGGGCGACATCAGCAGCCTTTTCACCTGCATTTTGGGAAGGAATTCCACGTTCAGTCAAGGTTAATTCAATATCATACGCAGCCCTGAGCTACAACTGCAGCCTCAAGGTGAAAGAATAATTTAAGTAACAATGATTTGCCTGCAAATAAGTCGTACACAGATACTGCTTTGTCAGCTGCATAAATGGCTTCTAGCTAAATAACCAAGACATAGATGTGACAGTCTGATCCCCCAGCAACAGAAAAGGGGTTTGCTGGATAAATAAGCTCGCTCTGCAGGTAAGCTGTAGGAGACATGAGGCTGTGGGACCAAGAGGTAACTAAGACTATTTTCACTGCACAAGGCAATGCTAGGTAGCATCCTGCCAGCCTTCTTTTGCCACAGCTGCCCTCAAAGCCCATCTCAGAGGACCCTCAGCCACACAGACACATCCCCAAAGTAAAAACAAAGCAGCAGACAGACCTGTAGGCTTACCTTACCACAACCTGATACGCTGCTCCAGGAACTGACTGCTCCTTTCTCCATTGGCAGGCTGGTGTGACCCAGATGATGTTTCAGAAGATGCTTGGATATTACATCTCCATCTGCACTTTGTTCAGCAGAAGCACCTGACTGCCAAAATACCCACACTGCCCTCCTGGACCTTAGTGGGTTGATTTTTCTACCGAGGCCAGCAATACCGACCGTGCCAGCCCAACGCTGCCTGTTGCAGCCCGTGCCGCTCGGCATTGATCTCTGCAGATCCCTGCAGGCTTGCACAGGCTACAAGACACACAGAAATCAGCGCAGCACAACAGACATTCACACTGCTGCTAAGTAGCAGGAGTGGCTTGTATTATGCAACTGTAAGTCTTACAAATTTCATTACCATTTTCAGTGCAGGCTTGGACTTTAGTCTTAAAACTTCCAACTCCACTTCCAACCACAAGTCCTTCCCATCTTCCCAGACAGGTTTCTTTCCGGCTCTTGCTATTTAACAAACTCTGCTCTTTGCAGTCGTAGCTTTTCTTACTTCCCCTCCCATAGCCCATAATACGCAGCCAGCACCCTCCCCATGCATACAGCTCTATCTTTGTATCTTAAAACCACTCTGTGAGCTTCAAAGACTCCCAAGAGTTACTGGAAACCAGCACCCAGCTCTGCTCCAACACCAAGCCCTAGTCTGTGTGTTGGAGCTCCAAGGGGCAAACACAGGCTCAGGGACGGCAACATTTAGGATGGAGAAACTGAAGGACAACCCTTGATGTGCAAGTTAATGTTTCTTCTCAAAGGCTCATCACGCAGTCAGAAGGCGGAGTGTTGCCAGTTAGACTTGAGGCACAGCTCTAAAGCCCAGAAAAGCAGATACTCCAGATGGGAGGCGTTGTGCAACCCTAGTAACAGACCCCGTCCCTCCATCAGCTGTGACCATGGTCCAACACCACTTGTTACCCCTTGTGTCTTGGCTGCTCCCAGCCCTATGAGATGGCCAGCAAAGTCTGAACCTGTCCAGAGAAAAGTCTATCCACAGGTCAGAATCACGTGGCAGCTTAAAGCCATGCTCAACTCTCAGCCTGCCCATGCCTCACGTTTTTGCCCCGTAACAACTTGAATTTTCTCTATTTGGGCAAGTCCTGGGCTGGGATGGCACCAGCTCTCCCCACCATTAGTCCCACCTACCTTACAGCCTGGCGGTATCTGGACGAAGTGCAATTTGTCATCTCATGATTACAGAACATCTGCAATCTCACATAGCCAAGAGCCACAGCCCGTAAGGTCCACAAGACACTTCTCAGAGGTCTCTCCACAGTTCATAGCAACAGGCCAGAAAGAATGAACTACAACACCTCATACTGGAACAGGTTGCTCAAACTGATAAAAGGTTTACATTTCTATACATATAAACAAAAGATAGGAAGAGGAACATTTCTACAAACAGGTAGAAAAGATTTGTCTTCCTGCACATGCCTTAGTCTTTACAGTAGACACAAAAGAAACCTGAAGGAAGATCTTCCAACAGCCTCTTATCCAAATTCCCCAAGGTGCTGAGACCCATCACAACATGCTTGAACAACATCTTAGTAAAGAAACAAAACTTTATTTTGTAAAAGTTGGAGAAAATGTTTTTAAAAAAAACAAGCAAGTGAAGAGCTATAAATAAGGGAAAACACTATTCCCAAACAGCAAACAAAAATCATCCACACCCTCCCCAGCTCTGACAGAACACTCCCAGACCGAGACCAGACCCCAGCCTGCGCTTCGACAGAGGACATCGGGAGCTCAGAGCACGTGCTGGGCATCATCTTGCTGCTGGCGAGGGCTGTCCTTGCTGGTGGCTGGGGTGGGACCTTCCAATATCCGAGCACCAAGGAGCCTGCAGAGTTCAGTTTTCCCCAGGAGGCAATGAGCATGCTGCCACCACAAACCCTGATGATGATGATGACGACCCCTAGCCACCGAGGAGGAACAAACCATCCAGAGGAACCATCCATCACCAAACAAGCATGTATTGTCCACGTTCCAGTGAAGAACAGGAACCAGGCTGGGGCTCCCTGACAGACCTCACACACCAGGACTGACACCCATGCCAGGACAGTCCTATCCAGCAGCTACTGAAGTTTTCCTGTCACCACGATATTTGTTCACCCCAGAACTCACAATACATTCGCCTTGTCAGGCAGAAAAGCAAAACCCCACACAATCGAGATTTATAGTGGAGGGAGAAGGGAGGGAGGGAAGAAAACCAGGCAGCTGGAGTACAGCCACACAGCATCTTCCAGAGGACCCTGAGCCAAGCCCAAGACCCAAGCAGCTGGTATCCGAGCGCTGGGAAGGAGCGGGTCCTCTTCCTCTGCTCAGCCACTCCAGCGGTGCTTTTCCCCAGGCTTTAGCTCCCTCTGTGGGACTCTGGGACGATCCGGCACCTGCTCAAAATGAAGCACAGTTAATCCAGGACTGCCCCATCCCCCTGCAGCCAGTGTGCACAGGCTTGCCCTGCGCCAGGACACCAGCCTTGCTGCAGGGACATCACCTTGCAGCAGCTGAGAACAGGCAGGATGGACCCGTTCCTAAAGGACAACCAGGTACCCCAACCTCCACCCCCTTCCAAAACATCCACGTTAAAATTCTCCAGTCCATGCCTGACAGCAAAGAGTTCAGAGTCACTGTGCCAGACAACAGCGGCTGCGAGGAGAACTGCCCGTGCCCCAGCCCCGCACTGGGACCCCCACTGGGGTTTCCACCCCTCCAGCTGCACCCTGTCACTGAAGGGAACACTGTCAGTATCTGCCCCACGGACAGAAGCCCGCACAGCACACCAACCCCAAGTGCTCTCACGTGGATTAGGACGTGACACCCTGTGTGTTCTGCAGCTATCACTCAGGAGGTCCAGCACAAGGACACAAGATGCTTCCAACCAGACCAATGCAAGAGCATCACGTCCACTCTTGCACTGGAACAATGAAGATCTTCTGTCAAGTTTTTGCTTCTACAAATTTCCCACGTAAGCTTGGACGAATCACTTAACCTCCTTTTATGATCACTGGCAGCAGGGATTGCTTTACCTTAGGAAGAATACTTGGGGCGCTAAATACATCTGAACTACGCAGAACTGGAGAAATGGATGTGTGCGTGGTATTTTTATATCACCAATTCCTCTTCAGTTTTCTCTGGTGTCACATCCTTGTGGGGCAGACAGCACACCAGCACATTTCCTCATTTTACAGGCTTGAGGAACAGACAGTACCCCACCGCACAGGGACGGGGAGTGGATCGGTTCTATAAATGGTTTCACCCCAAAGGAGCACGAGGAAAAGCTGCTCCAGGGTCAGACAGGGAACCCCCCCAGCAGTAGCAGCACCCCACCTCTGTCATCATCCTGACGGCTGTGCCCACCCCTCGCATCGTGAAGCTGTGCAGAGGCAAGCAGCAGGAAAGACTCACGCTAGATCTTTACCAAGAAAGAAGAAATCAGCGCTGAGAGGCAGACAGCCCAGGCTCAGGTGCTGGAAAGCAGGGGTTTCGTCTGCTCGGGGCCCAGCACATCCTTGTCCTTGGGGGGTTCTGGGCGCTGCCAGGAGCTGTTTGATCTGTGCGAAGGCCAGTCCAACTCCTCGGAGTGGCAACAGCAGATGGAGGAAAACAGCCGAGTCCGGACCACGCGCGTACAGAGGACAAACATGATGCAGTTGGCACCTCCTTGGAACGTGTTACCAATTCCCTGTGAGGGCAAGAGATGAATTAACCAGTGCTGTTCCTACAGGCACCCCCAGAGAAGAGCAAACATCGGGTCAGAGCAGCTACAGCACTGCCCAGCTGACAGCCAGCAGCTTCCACCTAAATGAGAAACAGAAAAAAAATCAACCTCACATCCAAACGCAGAGCAGGTGGCTGCTGTGGTTTCCAAAGCCTGGTCAAGGGGAGCTGAGACTGAGCCCCGATGAGGGACAGACACCCAGCATCGCTGGTCTCAGCCTGCGTTTCCTCCAAGCAGTTGGCACTGCCCCACGCTCCCGCTGCAGTTATTCTCCGCAGCCACTAGATGCTGCTGGAATAGCTCTTGCTGCAGGGAGCAGAGGTTCTTGCAACACGTGGGGTTTTTTTACTAGTATGTGCTGCATCCTACCAGAAAAAAGTGATATTACAATCAACAAAGCCCTATCTCCCTCCCCGATCCTCCTTCTAACACATTTCCTAGCAAGTACTTACATGCAGGACAACCAGGACTGAATTTTGCACTGCAGGGGAGTTACAGAGGGTCAGGATGAATCGCACTGTGCTCCAGATGCGGAGGATGATGAAGATGACGGGGATGAGAATCAACTTCTTATCTGCTATGGAAGTCCGGGGCTGCAATGCAGGCGGTCTCGAGAGAATGGGGCGATACTCGGAGAGTGCTGCATGCTTCGGTGGAGGGGGAGAGGGAGACAAAAACATGAACAAAAAGCTACGCACATTGGACGTTCAGCTCCAGGGATTCTCTCCAAAGCAAAATAAATTTTTGCATCTTGCGGGAAGTTAACGGGGGCACAGGTGTGAGCACCAGGCTTCAGCCACATTCTGCCCCGATAACGCAAACATCCCTGCTGAAGCCAAGGAGTGCCAAATGAAGGATATCTGGCCCTTAGAGTCCCACTAAAGCTTTATATTAACAAACATCGCTATGGAGTTGCCAAGAAACCAGGTCATAACAAAAGGAAAGAAAGTGTGCTGTTCCACAAAATAGTTTTGCTGGTCTGGTGGCCTGGCCCCACTGCTGCTGGGTTCACTGCTTTGTAAAAGCACAGCTAAGGGTATGGCCTTGGGAAAGCCTCTTGGTGGATATATATATATTATAAATACATATGGGGAACTTCCCATCCACTCCCATGGAGTCTTTCCCATTCGGAAATCCCCTAGTACACACCCTGTGTGTTGTACCCCTCCAACAGCTGTTTCCAGCATTTCTCCTGCCTCTCAGACTGTGCAGGAGCCACTGCAGCCGTTATCACTCCAGCCCAAAGCAGCCCAGGATGCCCACTGCTCTTCCTCAGAAATGCCTCCTGCCAGCAAAGAGGCTCAGCAAGCGGGCTGCCAGGCTCGGCAAGATCCCTGGTGATGAGAAGAGAGATTCTGCCGGATGGCCGTGTATGCTGCTGCCCCAGACCCCTGTTACGAGAACAGAGGGACCAGTGCCCATCCTGAGCGCTACTCCCATCTGAGGGTCAGTGCTGGAGCAGGGAGGGGAGAGCCCAGCGCCCAGGAACCCCTGGCAGAGCCCACGGGGAAGAGCCCGGCCGGGTGCGGGTTGGGTTTCCAGGCAGTCATGCTGCTATCTCTGACAGCTGCTGGGACACCGAGTCCCGCCTGAGTGATGTCAGGTGATGGTGACAGGCTCCAGCAAACCCTTCCCAGGACCCATAGGACAGCTTAGGACTATGTTGTTCTTCCAACTCATCTGCAGGACCCTGCCCTGAACAGATCTGTGTTTACCCCTGTACCACTGCCACAGCCTCACCGCAGCGAGCAGGGTTTGCAGAAGCTGCATTTTCCACCAGGACATCTATCCAGAGGGGGGCTTTTTTCCCTCTAATACATCTTAGGGAAAAAAAAAGGAATCTCTGGATGTAGTTCCTTCTGCTACTCTCAATCTAGATTTCTCTATCATGCACATGATGTCCAAGATGCCTGGGTTCTGTCTTCACAAGGAACAGCAGCAAAAAAGCCTCTGAATTCTGAAACCCTCCCAGAACAGGGTCTCTTGCTGCACTGTATATGCATATAGTGCCCAGTGCTATAGCACCCAGACTCCCAAAACAGGGCTTTATGCTGCTCGTAGGTACTCAAACACAAACCATCATCAGAGATCCTACAACAACTGAGGCCAGGCAAGTCCAGATGCCAGTCGCAGGCTTGGTACAAGTGGAACTGTGGGAGACTGATTAAAGCTGACTTTTGTCCTTCACATCCTCTTTCAATTCTTACCATAAGATTTACATTTCACGCATGTACATCCCATAACCCTTGAAGTTTTGAAAAGGCTTTCACATTCTTCTTGTGCCAAGTCGCCGTGTAACGATGCTGCAGGCTGCCCAATGCATTTCAGCAGCGTATGAACCAATTCCTGCCTCTGTAGCTGCTAAATATGCAAAACCCTCAGAGCATGGGAGGATATAATGACATAGCAGGTCTGCAACCTACGCTGAAAACAGCAAAATACTCACCGCTCTGTTAATGTGCTTCTTGATGAGAAGGTAGAGCACCGGCAAAGTCACGTAGGCCAGTATCTCCCAGACCTTCCCTGTTAACAACATCCACAGGAGGCGATCCTCTGCATCCAAGTTGACCCAACACCAGCCCACAGACACATTGGAGGCATCATAACCGATCTTCTTCAGCGCGACAGCGGCCACCGTAATGCCGAGGGGGACTCCCCAGCTGAGCAAGGAACACGAAGAGCAAGGTTAGGACAAGAACATCCTCAGATTAGTCCCTCCACACACCAGGGAAACAAGGTGACAGACCGAGGACACAAGGAAATCCACAATTTTATTCCATCAGTGGGTTTTGTTTGTTTTGTTTTAAATGGAGGTGTATGCAATATTTTGGGAGCAAAAAGGTAATTTCTGAAGGACAAAGGGCAAGTTTCCTCCAAGAGGAGCCATATTCACAGAACCTGGAACTGTGTTGCAACTTCAGCCTCTTTCTTGACAGCAGAGGCAAATACAGGGAAGCTTAGAAGCAAAATAACTGTGGTGACACACGTGAATGAAGTCACTCAGCAGCTTGGGCTGCCCACAGAAACCCATGAGCAAGAACTGAAATATTCCATGAGCCCAAACGTAAAAGCACTCGGTCCCTTCCCGCGTGCTGTTAACACCCAGGACTGCACAGGCCTGTCCCAGCCCGTGACGTACAACCCACAAAACACTCCACAACTGAGATCCTGCCCTGTAATCCACTGACTGCATCACCTGCCCTTCCCGTGTTCATTCAAGGTGCTGAGGATCCTTAAGAGGGACAAGGGACACCTCCTCAGTGATGACACAAACGCCTCAGAGTGCTCAGGCTGAGCTTCCAGCACAACCCTCCTCGTCTCTCCAGATGCAAAGACAACAAAGCCATCACTGCATCTCATCACCTTCCTGGTTCACACCCATCTTCCACCAACAATGTGGAGCATCTTCAGAGAACACAAAGGATCGTCCTCCTAAGATCAGTTTCACACACATCAGGCTATGTGGGCAACCAGCAGTCGCCTAGACCAGACTGTCTGGAACTCCACAGCCCAACTGGAAAATCAGAGATAATCCCGTGATATTAGACCTCAAAAATCATAGAATCACAGAATCATTAAGGTTGCAAAAGACCTCAAGGATCATCAAGTCCATCCGTCAACCCAACACCACCTAACCCACTAACCCATGTCCCGAAGCACCACATCGACACGTTTGTTGACCCCCTCCAGGGATGGTGTAAATATAATGCTGTAAAAAATCCCACATCAACCGTTTAGCATGTGTAGAACATTTTGTTTCAGCGTTCGGTTCAGAACAGCCCGTGCTCACCCAAGCCGACGTTGTTATTTAAGGACAGTCCTGCTGCGGGAAGCCCTCCCCGTGCTATTATCAGAGCAGGATTTCTACAAACATTCCAGACATCACCACCACCACGAAAACTTCTACACAACTCAGATTTACCTGGAAATTAGGATTACAGACTCAGAGATCCCAACTTCAGTACACTCAGGAGAACTGATCACTGGGGTACAGAATTCAAGAGAACTGTCACTTCCTGAAAGAAACCCTACGAAGGCACAGAAGCACAAATAACTCCAGCACCAAGAAAAAGGAAGTGTATTAAAAAACTGATTTGCCTAAACAATGATCTCCACAGTGACCTGAAACAAAGAACTATATGAGAAGATAAAACCAGGTCAAACATACAGACACAGCAGGAAATAACAGACCAGTAAGGAAGGGACTTAAAAAAAAAATCTTCAAGTATCTGACCAGTACAAGGAACAACGTGGAAGAAGACTGCCCCACACCAGGCAGTTGGCTTTCGCTGCAACGGTGTGTTGGGATCAGATGGTTGGTACAACTAACACCAACTAACAAACTCAAAGGGAAGTTAGGATCTAGAAGTCATCAGGCTTCTCTATTTTAGAAAACTGGAAAGGAGAACCAAGACTAGCAATTTGATTATTCTTAAGAACCCCTAAATGACAGATTCCCAAGGACTGGAAAATACCGATGCCTTACACCCACCTAGAAAAATGGAGCAACAGAAAAATCACAATATTGCACACACAAGGCATATGTAACAACTGGAATAAAAAGGATCCAACATAACACAGAGGCAGAAATTTTACCCTGAGCCCCAAAGACAGTGCAGTTGTAAATAGGCTGAGCCCCTCAAACGCACACTTGGATCTAAACACAGTGTGGGGGAGAAGGGAAAGAAGGCTGCTCCTTGCACCTCTGGAAAGGGCTGCCAGTCCCTCTCCACGGCAGACACACAAGCGCTGACTTCCCCAATGCAGCCCCTGGCAATCTATTAATAGAATTACACAGAACCCAGCATATCTTCCCGTATTAACACCAGTGCTGCATTCACACACAGTAAGACAGGGACCCTCCAGCAGCGTACAGCTCTTTGCTTGTCGCCCGCGTGCCTGGGTCAGGCGGCTTAACACCACATTTTGATTTACACTGCACAGCTGCTTGCTTTTTTTTCCCCCAGAGGCTCTTGCAAGCAGGGAGGATTTGCAGCCACCTGCCTGCACAGGTTAGACAGTGAGCCATCCTGCCAGCAACCCTGTGGGCAATTCCTTCTGGGGATGGGAATTTTTCTGTAAGAGAAAAAAAAAAAAAAGCTAAAGCACCAGCAGGCAGGCAGCTCTCGCTTTGGCTGGCCTGACCTCCAAGCTTTGAGAAGATAAATGATAAAGTAAATTTCAAGAGATCCCTGCACCCTTCAGGCAACGCTTAGGGACTTAAGTCCAGTTCTGAAATTTAGCGCTGGCTCTGTCACAATCAAGAACAAACCCCAGGGTGGGTTCTGACCCATTCCTCAGCCTGAGTTTGGACCAACTGCCCTCGCAGCACAGATGCCATTAGCCCGCTGAATGACACCTGATATGTAGAAACCCAGAACAAGTGAGGCAGCCTGGAAATTTATGCTCTGGATGCCAGAACTTATAATTTACCACTACATAAATATTTCCAAAGCTAACTGCAAGCTTGTTTTCAGAGGTCATCTGAGCTCAACACAAGTTTGAAACCAGAACAGAGCCGCAGGTCTCCGGTCTGGCAGTGGGACAGGGCTGTGTGACCACAGGAATCAGTCAAGGACAAGCCTGCTGGACAGGTTTCATCCAGTGTGACGCTAATTTCCCCCAAAAAAATTTCTGGTACTGACTTCCAACATATAGTCAGCTCCACTCGGCTACAGAACAGTCTCGGGTTAGACTCAACACCAAGAGCATCCATCTCACAAACACTCGTCCCCTGGGAGCAGCTGCTGGTGGGCAGCAGGAACCACACGTGGCAAAGCTCCGTCCTGCCCCGGGTCCCTGCCACAGGGTCTCTCAGGATCACACAGTGGTCACTGCAGGACTGCATTAGCAACCTATGGAGCGAAGAAAGGGAAAAAAAAAATTCCCAGGTTCTTGCCCAGACAAAAACACTGGAAATTATCTTTAAATCCTTATATCATCTGCCCTGTGCCACCCTTCCTTTTGCCCTAGACAGGTCCCTCTCTCCTACCCTCAGTAAGCAGTGTTATGTACTCATCAGTGGTATCTTTTCATATCAGTTGCCATCCCTATCTGTGTGGTAGAAGAACATTTTTAGGCTGGAAGCAGCACAGATCGCCCATAAGACTTTAAAGCACTGAAAAGCGTCAGCGGGGCCAGCTCCAAGCATTCCCTCCACAATCTGGATTTACGGTTGAGTTCTCAGGTGATGACACAATTGCAGGGAAGGAAAGGAGGAGGATGTGTCACAAGGGGACGGGCAGAGAACAAGTCCTCACTTGTTTTCATGGCTTTTCATACAGATCATAAAGTAGGAGGAAGCTTTACGCTGGCTCTGCACAGAGTGGGAGCTATTTGCAAAGCAGAAGCTGGTACCAGGTCTTGGATGCAAGCTGCCTCATTGCCCTCCAGACAGGGCACGTGGAGCTGATCGACACCGAGAACAGAAGGCAGTACTTTATTTTTACTGTGAAAACGTGAAAATAAACCCAGCAAATTCAGAGGGAGTCCAGTGTGAACACTCCTTCCCTCTGTCGCAGGGTTAGAACCATCTTTCAGGTTTTTTATGGTTTTAAAAGAGTGCACAGATTATGGCCAACATTATTTCAGTGAATCACAGAAAGGTTTGGGCCAGAAGGGACCTTACAGATCATCTGCTTATTTCTTCTGCACTTTGTAGCTGATGAGGCTGAGAAGCATGAAAGCAGATGGAGGAGGTGAAGTACAGACAAGATCACACAGGCAGTGATTAGCAGGCAGGGAAGTGAGACGGGCCAGATTTGCATCAGCTCTTTGACGCAGCCCAATGCAGACAGCATGCCCGTAAGCAAGTCGGACTCCTTTCTGTTCTTTAAGCAACGTGCAGTTCAACCCGCACCCCGTCCTCTCCATAATTCTCACAGGGCAACTCTGCTCACTTGAAATGAAATAACCCAAACTCCCGTCTCACTGCACCTTAACTCCACCACCACCAGCCAAGCACACCCAGACGCATGTGTGGCCACCTTGGGCTTCCTCAGGCGCAGACCTTGCTGCTGAGCAATAATCACAACAGGCTTGGCAGGAACTGAAGTTCCTCCCTGATCCACACTTCATGTCTCTCTCCGGCTCGCCTTTACCTGGACTCAGCTCTAATTCAACCATCTCGCAAATGATGGTGTTTGAAAAGAAAAGGTGACAAATATTTGAGTAAGAAACAAAATTCTGCACTTGCCCTAATGGCTTTTTTTTTTTTAAACCAGATCATTCCACTTATAGTTTATTGCAAAAGCTTGGCAGCACAGGGGACTGAAGGATCACTGTTTTGCTCAGCGCGGAGGCAGCACATGATTCCACAAGCTCCAGTTGCATAATGAAAGCTTTTACTGAAAACCATGTGGAAAAGCAGCTCGCTAAATAGCAGGAACTGAGACATAAAGCCACACTGGGGGCTGGTTTGTCTTGCTTTCAATCAAAAAAATGCCAGAATAACCTTCAGAGGGCTTTTCTAGCAGCCTCCTCACTTGCAGGCTACATTCTCCTGCGAGTATTGAATGTCAGCAACCCGCCCGGGCAAAGGGGAAGGATCCGCAGACCAGGGAGACACGGGGAAGTCGGGGACCTGTGGAAACAGATCCCAAACAGAGGAGTTCTGGCAGCAGCAGAGAGGTGCTGCAAACACAAATTTCGTGATATTATTTCTAGGGTGTCAGAACAGATTGTGGAAGGAAAGCAGAAGCCAGAATTTTCAGTCTCATTAGCTCTTGGCAGAGATTTTTCTGTGTGACCTTAAGCAAATAATTTTTAACTTTTCCACCTCTCCATTTCATCACTTACAAGAGGGTAAATAAGCAAATATATAAGCAATAAAAGACATATATAAGCAAAATATGTATAAGACATACACAAAACAACATATAAACAGTAAGAGACAGCAAAACCCCTGTTTAAAAGGAACTTGAGAAGGGCACACTGTCCTTAAAAGCAGGTGACCAGAGCAACCACCCGAGCGCCTCATCCCCGAGCAGAGCACGCCGTACCCAGCAGGGGCAGCTCCTGGCCCCAGGGTGGGTGCCCACAGGACCC